GCGGTCCCTAAGTCAGTTTTGTTGTGTTGCATTAATGTAAGTAATGCAGCACAATGTGTTGTCCAAGTTAAACCTGTGTTCGGTGCATTCTGTATTCGGTTATGTTGCTGCACCGCAATCCGCCAGGTCTAATTCCGCCGCTCTAAACCGGTCACGTGACCGGCCGTGGTCGACCTCGGGTCGCGCGCCGCGGCGGCTGGGCAGTCGTGTGCGGGGAGCGCGGTCGGGCGGCTCGCTCTGGGCCTCGGGTACCGAGTCCAGTACGACCGCGGACACTTTGCCTCGGAGCGCCGAGCTGAGTGCCTGCCGCGTGGCTCGTACCACCCAGCCTCGGGCGACCGAGCTGAGTGGATCTCGCGGGGCTTGCGCCGCTCTGCCTCGGTGACCGAGCGGAGTGTTTGTCTCCACCCGCGCTGCACTGCCTCGGGGCGCCGAGCGGACTAGTGAGTATTGTACTGGACAACGTGTGACAGCTAAGTATTTGTTTCGCATTTATATTTGTTCCGCAGTTGTTATTCCCGGGGTCGGAATACACCTCATATCGTTCTTCAACTGGTTTCTCACCCAACGGGATCCAATGTAACAGTTTCTAAGGGTGTCCACGAACGCTGTCTGGTTAAAGCTGTGATCTCTGAGGGCCCTACGCAGGTTTTTAAGTGCACTCAGCTCCTATTTGAGATTTCACACCGGCCTCTGAGATCGGATGGCTTATGCATGCCGCAGAGGAGCCCTTACCGGTTCCTGGGGGCTCCGTGCTGATAGCTGAGGGCCCCATGCCAATACTCGAGAGCCCCATTCAATAATCTAAGGGCCCTACACCAGTTTGAGGAACGCCGTTCGGCCAAGGCCGACCTCCGAGGAAGAGTCCTATGCAAGCCTCTGAGTGCCCGCACTTTCTTTTTTAGGATCTCACACCACCCTCTGAAGTCGCAGGTCTAAAGGAAGCTTCTAATGACTCTCACTAGCTCGGACCCAAATCGATGCACGAGGACCCGACAAAAGTGCCCGAGTAACCCACACAGTAATCTCAGTACCCACCCCAGTTTCTGAGGGCCTACACGAGCCCTTTTTGGCAGCCAAAGTCGATGTCTTGGGGCCCTAACTATTCAGGCATCGAGGCTGTTCGGGCGTCAGGAGACGATGGGGGGGGGCCTCCAGCTGAGCTTGCGTGGTACCCCATGGAGCCGGCGAACGGTCTCAAAGAGTCAAAGGACCCGGCGTGGGGCCCCAGGAAGCGGTGTGGGCGTCCATATTCCTATGTACATGAGGTATCCCAGAGGCCATCATGGGGCCTTCAAAGACCGTGTGCGGTGACCCTTAGAATTGCCGGCGTTGGGTCTAAGGAGCTCTTATGTGCGGCCTTCATCGGGATCCAAAGCCAGTGTGTGGGCCATAGAGAAATGGGGCAGCTAAGGGGGCCGGAGGCCAGGCCCCCATAGGTCATAGGGTTCAAATTGATGGGCCCAAACGTCTCATCGGCTGTTTTATTTTTACACTTACCTATGTAATCCATGATAATAAGAAGCGTGCCTTACATAAACTTGCAAAAGGGCTCTCTGAGGACGGTATGAGCCCTGGAAGGTCACTGTGAGCATTTAGGGGCCTGCTTGGGGATTGATCGATTTTCAAATTCTCAGAAAGGACTTGAAACCATGAGCACACTCGTCTTAGGCACAACGTAGAGCTCTTATGCCTGAGTTTGTCCTTCGATGTATGTCTGCGTGGGAGGCATCTGAGACCGGGATGGTGTCCTGAGGAGTCCGAGTGCCCCCACTCAGAACCCTCACAGCCCACAGGTCTAAGTGGGCCCTCTGAAGCCCGAAGTTTGTTTGGAGCAATCAGATGACGACATGGAATGGAGCCCTCAGGCTACCCTTGAAACCCCATAAAAGCTATTTTGAATGCTGTAGGACGACTACGTATCCGCTTGGTCGGCTATTGGGACTGATAGCACGGCGGTAAAGGTAGCAAAGCGATTTGGAATACGGGTCATTGAAAGTGATCGGGTGAGCACTGAGCTGAATATGGACAGCGGGACGCCCCCGCTTGCTCTGTGCACAACTGCGCGTCACACGTGAAAATATTGGAGCAGATAATATGTATAGTTAATAAAAATTCGTGGCGCACAGCCTCGGAAAATAGGAAAAGCTGAACTCAAACCACTCATTGTGAAGTTTGAATCGGGCGTCAAATTCAGACAACTGCGTATGCTTGTTTAACATGCGTATTTCTGCAGTAGTAGTACCCAAAAGATTAGTAACCACTACACCTCTTTACCCTCAAATTAAAATGACGGGATTTCAATTTGAAATATTGGACTTTCAAATAAAAACGAAAGGATTTCAAATAAAAACGACAGGATTTCAAATCAAAATCAAAGGACTTCACTTTAAAACAAGGAGAATTCAAATAAAAATCAAAGGAATTCAAATTAAATCTGATTTTGATGTAGTTAAATATGGATATTTTGAATCGGTTTGTTTGCTAATTATCAAAAACAGAAGCATCTCCCTACTTCCTGATGTAATTTTCCTCCAGATACACATTTTCAGCCTCCAAAGCTGTATTGGGCAGAACCCTCTCACGAGCGTGACCATCGAGGCATCAATGCTATCTCAATATCATCCCATTCCTAATATCATGCCTTCTCCTTGCCCATTCTTTTATATTTTCCTCGCATGAAGCCTGGCTTTACACCACGTCGTCGTGGCTCACCAATAGGGTTTTCGTTCATGGTATCAAAATGGTCTACATTGGATTCATCTTCACTTACATCTAAGCTCATTTTGTACTCAAATATAAGCGAACAAAACTTGTAAACGAAGACAAATGAACCTCTAGGTCAGCTCTAGGTGAAAATGCGCATTTTATTGTACATGTTTTTTTTTGCATCTCGTATTGTTACGCACGCGAATTATTATCATGGCCAGTGGCCACTGGCCAGCCTTTATGGGGTATTCCGCTTTAGAAGAAAATGAATGGAGGAATGAATTAAGATTCAGCGGATAATTAAAATAACCGAATGAGCATTCCCGCCAAAATACCAAGCACATATACTTATGACATATTTGGGCTTAACTTGAATTCCTGTGGTTTTAATTTGAAATCCTAATATCTTTAAATGAAATTCCCTCGTTTTTATTTGTTGTCCCGCTGTTTTAACCCGCGCCCCACTGGGGTCTGTGTATAACACGCCCTACTGGGGGGGACTATTCATAGCCCCCCCCCCCCTCCTAACTCCGAAACTACTGGGCCGATCGTCAAAATTCAAACGGCGTCTGATAGCCCCGGAAAAACTGTCGAGCGAAACCTAATTTCATTGACCTCGAGATCACCGATGACGTCACAGGTCAGGTCAAAGTAAAAATTATTAGCATTTTGGCTTGTTCACATTTTGGGCTCTGGCCGCCGCCTTACAAGTCAGATCATGCTCATTTTTGGTTTCCACACTCATGAACAGATGCTCTAGATACCTTGAGGGTACCAAACCTGTACTTTGATTTTCAGGTCAGGGTCAGGTCATCACAGGTCACGGAAATAATATATCATGCGACGGTCACGTTACACATGTTTTATGGTCCATTTAGGCCATAGATTTCGAATTTGATGTCGTCTGTGTCATTCGAGGTCATTTTGAGTCGAATTTAGCTTAGGTCAGGTCACTTTCAGGTCAAAAAAGGTCAAATTTTGAAGTTAAAATTTTTCAACAAAAAAAAGGTGTCTTATGGATGCAGTTTGAGCTCAGGAACACGATGGTGCCATTTATATTGGTGTACGATGTCAAATACGTACAGAAAAATTGATTTGAAAATTAATAATTGTGATTTTTTGCAATAATGCGTATAACTTGGCCATTTTTGAAGATATTTAGCTAAGACTTGCTAAAGTTAGTCATAATCATGCGTTCTGTCACATATATTCCGTTTTTTTTTCGAAAAGTCAAAAACTTTTTGAAAAAATATAAAAAGATAAATTTTGAATAATATTATATAAAATTTTCCAAATTTTCAAAATTTTGAAAATCCGAGATAGCAGTTTGATAGCACGGCCAATTCTGAGTCCTTTCATGCAAAGAAATTGGATCTAGCTTAAAAACTGAGCTCTTGGGAGCGATTGCCGTGGTTCAACGTTTTGCGTCGAAATCGGACGAACATGACGTCACTCTGACGTCGTTTCCGGCCGACCTACGGTTACGAAGTTCAAATTTTGACACAAGGTGTCAAAGTGATGCAGCCGAAGGTACTGAAAGTTTCGCGTCGATCCGTCAAGCGGTTTGGAAGTTATTGCGGAAAAACGGGAGGGGGGCTATAAATAGGCCCCCCAGTGGGGCGCGGGTTAATTTGAAGTCCTCTTGCCTTAATTTGAAGTCCTATTTATTTTAATTGAAGTCCTTTGATTTTAACTTGATGGTAAAAAGGTGTAGTCAAGTAGGAGAAATTATAGTATGGCAAATCTAAGAAAGAACGGAGTTGAGGCTCCTGAATCTTTTTGCCACGTGTTTTGATCACTGGACGTGTATGGTTAGAAGAAAATTTGTGTAAAAAGTCGTGAGAGAAATAATATTTTTCAACATCAAAACGTGCATCAATGGTACTTGCGCTTTGAATCCCTTCTTTCGTAGGTTTGCCAGACTGTGATAAAATATTTTCTTTTGCGCTTAGCATTGAGAATTTGAGATCCATTCTCAATGCTATGCAACAGATCCGTATACGGATCATGTTGCATGCATGTATGTGCATTTACTCTGCTCATGCATCTCCTGACCGTAAGATGCTCGCTCATTCATCTTACGACCGTCAATTTTAAAGGTTTTCCCGCCCCGCTTTCTTAGCACCGGCTTATTCCGGAGCAGTGGCGGCGCTGACTTTTTGGAAGGGGCCCGACGTAGGTGGGGGGCCCAATCACCACATCTTGCACACCCTACGAAAATTCAAATCCGCGGTCCCTGTTATACGCTAATCAACAATGTTCGGGTAATTCTGGGACACCCTGTACTGTACCTGCAGTGTGCGCCCTGCCGGTCTCGACGACATGGCGGGCGCGGTCAAACGTCTGGCGGTACTGGGCTAGGAAGTCGGCGGCAGCGCGGCGCGCCTCGCCCACAGACTGCTGCAGGACACCGGCCGGCCGGCGGCCGTACTCCCGCCTGGGGCACACAGCCGCACGACCTGAGCGTCCAGCCAGCAGCGCCGCCACACACCACTTAGCGCCACACAACACGGGTCAGCGAGCACTGAACCACACAACACCGGTCACAAAACCCTCAGCGCAACACACACGGGCCAGCGAGCATTGAGCCACACAACACGGGCCACACAGAACAGTGTGGCCACACAGTACAGTCATTTTATTGATTTAGGATCACTGGGGTGGGTGGCCCGAACCTCCCGGTAAGGACGCTAGAATGCGCGTAGCATCTCAGCTCATAATCTAGCAAGAAAGCTTCAAATTGTCTATCCAGTCTTAAACCTCACCCGCACATGGAGAGGGGACCCCCCAGGTAGTTTTTCTGCTCTGCACTCTACATTTTTAGAGCTAGTTAGAAGTCTGATTTTTCGCATAGCTGCTCCTCTACCCTTTCTTGATGTCCACTGAAAATTTCAAGTTTTTGTGGTTTTTGGTTTCGGAGACATGACCTTGTTCTTCAGGTCAGGTCATGACCCAAATGACAAATACCTAATATCTTGCGTTGGCTATGGGTCTTGTGAGCTTTTGACACATTGATTTCGGCCCTTTTTTTGCCAGTCTTACCTCCCACCTTTCATGGAACATGTTGGTCGACGATGTACAGATGTCAAGGTCAGGGTCAAGGTCAACCTAGGTCATATAAAATCATTGCGTTTCAGGCAAGTTGAATTTACTTTTCGTGAAGTTTCTTTGACTGTATTTTTGGTAAAACCTCATTTCATGATCTCATGTAACATGGACACAAACAATCGGTGCACACATCAGTATACACACAGACACACACAGACATACAAACACATATCATTGACCTTGACCTAACTTGACCTGAAATGACCTCAGCAGCAAAAAAACTGGTCGGATAGTGTGACAAAGAGGTTCTAGCTGGCTTGGCACCACAGAACAGCATCGTCATCGGTACATGATCAGCAGCGCACTTGATATCCAACGGTGACCCAAAACAGCAACATTTTTTTAGTTTGACCTGACCTGGAAGGAATAAAATGGCGCGGGGCTGGCAACCCCATGTGCGTTCTAGGATGGGAAAATGACATGTGCGGGCGAGGCGAGGGTTCGCATGCTTTAAAGTTTACGTTAGCGATGATCTGACATAATAAAACGAGCCTGCTTCACATTGATCACGAATTTACTTTATGTACCGTATTTTACTCGAAGAGGACAGCCGCGCTTTATCACCACTCATTGCCAAAGAAGACTGAGGAAGATTTCGGAAATCACGTGGGTTGTATAACGAAATGGCTGCTACCAGTTTACGTGGTCAAATGTGTAAAAATACGCAACACTTCTTCAAAACTGCGATGGCCCATACCGCCCAGGGCCCAGACCTCCCGGGTCTCCCCTGTGTCGGCTCGCATTAGCAGCGCATTTGCGGTCTTTTCGTGGTTTCAAGCGTTCAAAGTTCAAACATGTGATATGATGTTGCCCCATGCCTTAGGGTGGGTGTCAAGGTCACCTGAAGGTCAGGTCAGGTCATTGACCTTTGGTGACCTCGGTTCACTTTTTCGAGATTTACATGTTCCTAGGCCAGTTTTTTCGAGCTGAATTCGAATTTAGCAACCATATGAACGTTTACAAAGTAGTTTGGGTGCCTTCGTAACGTGTTACGAAGCTGTCAGAGGCAGTTGACACCTACTACGAATGCCCGGCAGGACCCCTACTGGTTGAGCTGACCTGACCTGACCGGACCAGGCCTAAATGAATGAAGACATCATCTGTGATCAAAACTCGCATGATATTCGTGATCAGCACCCGGAAAACCCCATAGCACCCACACTTACGGCGTTCTAACAGGTCCCGATTTTCCCGACTTTTGGGTCATTGACCTGACCTGGAAGGTCAACCAATGACCTAGGACGTTAAAATTGGGTATCATCGGCTTCTCCTCGTTACGGGCAACACGCTCCTTTTTCCGCGAAGCTCTAGGTCGATCAGGGGCGAAACGGCAATGGGGGTCCAACGGACCCCCGCCCCCCCCCCCCTTATACGTTCGCGGCTGGAAAAACACCAATACGGGCGAGGGTTAAGGTAGGCCATGTCGTCTAAAATTATTGAATTTAACCACAACATATTATGAGAACATCAAATAAATATTTTCTACAATTAAAAAAAAAGAAGAAATTTTGTCCGAATGGATGAATGGGTGCAAAAATGCTACCATTATGCGTCACATTACGCCATAGGATCTCACCAGATCTTAACCCTCGCATGTGTGCGGCGTTTGCCAGCTTCTAATGTGTAGGGGGGGGGGGTCGGTTGGACCCCCCTTGCCGTTTGGCCCCTGATCGAGCTAGAGCTTCGCGGAAAAAACGAGCGTGTTGCCCGTGACGAGAGGAAGCCGATGATACCCAATTTTAAGGTCCTAGGTCATTGGTTGACCTTCCAGGTCAGGTCAATGACCCAAAGTCGGGAAAATCGGGACCTGTTAGAAAGTCGTAAAGTGTGGCTGCTAAGGGGTTTTTCGGGGTGCTGATCACGAATATCGTGTTAGTTTTGATCACAGATGATGTCTTGAAGCATTTAGACCAGGTCGGGTCAGGTCAGGTCAGGTCAACCAGTAGGCGTCGTGACGGGTATTCGTAGTACGTGTCAACCGCCTCTGACAGCTTCGTAACATGTTACGAAGTCGCCAAAACTACTTCGTAAATGATCAAATGGTTGCTAAATTCGAATTCAGCTCCAAAAACTAGCCTAGAAACATGTAAAACTCGAAAAAGTGACCCGAGGTCACCCGAGGTCACCAAAGGTCAATGACCTGACCTGACCTTCAGGTGACCTTGACACACACGGGAGTAACATCAAATCACATGTTTGAACGTTTGAAACCACGAAAAGCTTGCAAACACGCGGCTAGTGCGAGCCGACATACGCGAAATCGCGATTCCGGCCAAACATGGTCTCAGAAAAGAGGTCACAGGTCAAAGGTCATTTGGGTGAGGGTCATGAAATTTTCAGGGTAGGTGTAAAATTGATCAATGCGAGGGTACTGAAAGTTTCGTCGCGATCGGCCGCTTTTTACGCGAGTTATTCGCGAAAAACCATGGGGGGGGTCCATCCGACCCCCCCCCCCCTACACATGCGAGGGTTAAGAATATGGGAATACGATTCAACCCTCATTCGACTTTTTTGCGCTCGAATTCGACTTTGCGCAAAATAAAACGACAGCGCTTAAAAGCGACAGTTGCCGCAAATTGCACACTCAAACTGCGCTGAAATACGACATTTCTTTCATGTCGCAAAATCTTCAAAGTTATGCATTCTAGGAAGCTCGCTGCAATGAAAAGAGGTAAATTTAGCCCCCCGGAATATGTGGTTAGTATCAGGACACTGTTTGATTCCGCCACAAATGAGAAAAACGCGATGCAGAACGATGCGGTGAAACTGCGCTCATTCGCGACAAATCGTGGGTAAATTGCGCCTGTATTCAACAGTCCTGTTGGAGCCTGAGTGGTCGAGCACTTTCCGTTTTTCTGTTCTCATTCGTTTATTTCGTAACCAATCTTTAAAAAATGATGCTCATTTGACAGAGATTTTCTCGCTCGTCATTTCTGATGCATAATGCATACATTTGGTACATCACACTCACAACCATATGTACTTGAATTTTCAGATGAAGGATTTTGCCGCGAAGACGGAGTGGGTGTCGTATACCTTACCTAGATGTTGAGCTGGAATTCGGTGAACAAGTTTTTTTTTAAATAATGACCTGAAGGTGACCCAAACACTTTTAATTGATAGGTGTGTTTGCAAAACGCATTCCGACAGCTTTTTTTTTTGCTTTTAACACTGTATTTTTCTCGAAATACCTGTTTGAATAATTTTCCCGAGTCGACTTCAGGCGCAATTATCAGACACTTAGCCTAAAAACGACACTACCGAGTCAGATAAAAGCGCACTGCGCCATTTTACGACACTCTGCAGTATGATCCGAGCGCATATGCGCCCTTTCCAGACACTTTTATGTTTGATTTGGGCGCATTGCACTTACACTTGACGGCACAATTTACTTGACAGAGGCGGCTTCAGCCACTGGTTTTGTGGATTTAATGCCTTTTATGCTATACTCTAGCATGTTTAGATGTTAACGATCAGTTTTGTTGTATTTACTCTATGCACATACTTACCTGTTGCTAGCGCGGGACCCCTCTTCATTAGGCCTGTTATGCGTAAAGTATTAGCGGAGGGGATTTCCTTCGCACTGGTGTATGTGCTGCCAAATGTGTCCGTGTGGCGCTCAGCTGGTCGGTGTTGGCCGATATATGAATGCATAGGTGTATGCAAGGCGGACGGCTCCAGTGGCGGTCGCAGGGGGGGGGGGGGGCATCAGGGCCATGCCCCCCCCCAAAAGGCAAATCAGGGGGGCATCATATCATTTGCCCCCCCAAACAACCGATGGGCCCCCATGGCCGTATGGGGCCCTGGCCCGTATTCGATTGTCACGAGGCTCGAGAAACCCACGCCAGCTATTAACAGCTCCTATACCAGTCTTTGAGGGTCCTACACTGACCTCTGAGAGCCCTTCAGTGGCGGTCAAGCGTCCACATTGACCGCTGAGGACCCACATTGACCTCTGAGGGCCCTCCACTGGCCATTAAGGGCCCCTAAACCGGCCTCAGGGGCCCATCCGGCGTCTGATAGCCTCACGCCGGCCTCTGGTGGCCTCATTTCTGTCTCTATAGTCCCAAGACTAGCCTTTAAGTGCCTCTGAGGGCCCCGCACTGGATTCTGAAGACCCGATGTCGGCCTCTAAGAGCCCGCATCGGCCTCTGGGGGCCCATTTTGGCCTTTGAGGGCCCTCCGCTGGTCTATGGGGTCCAACGCCGGCCCATGCCGGCCTTTAAGGGCCCCACACTGACCTCTAAAGGGCCCATGCTGGCCTGTAAGGACCCACATTAGCCTCTGAGGGCCCCTGCACTGGATTCTGAAGACCCAATGCCGGCCTCT